GTCAGTTCCCGTGGTCTCAAACCACGAACAGTCAAGGTACTGAGTATTTCTAAGCTCTCATCCCAACTTCAGTCAAACTGGAGAAGTGACAGAGTAAGTGAACAAGTTCTCTTGTTCGGGGAGTTATACCTCACCAGGTGGACGCATCAGGGAAGAAGTATTACCTCACATGTGAAAGGTTTATTTGGTATTTGTCAGCTGGAAATATCTCTGGTGCCTTTGCCACATCCAGCCGTCTGTAAAGAGTCGGGTGTACGCTACATGCAGTTTGACCAGTGCTTCTTTATGGCCATCACGAAAACAGGATAACAATAGACTATCGATGTTCGAACACCGCATCTACCCCGCGTAGTACGAATCTGTTGGGGCTACCGGACAAGCAACGCTGTGGTTGGGCGCAGACTATTAGGTTATCGCGGTCACCCACTACAGCTAAGGCTCGACTTCCATAGATCGCGTTGGTGGGGGGCGCGTGTTACACACTCAGCCAAGTTGATTGCCACGCTCCGCGACGTTTACGGAAGCAGATGATGGGTAGAAAAAGGTGAAGGAAGGTCAAATGAAATCCAGGCACGAGGTCGGGTTAAGCTAAGTGGATGGATCAGGGTAACCTATGATTAGAAACGTGGAGTGATAAGCATCAGTGTCGTAAACAGTAGTGCTTTTCACTTACTCTGTGTCCTTGAAACCTTAGATCATATGCACGCTTTATATTGCTCTCAACATTCCAATCTGCCCTCTACCTATTCGTCCAGGCAAAACACCACAATCAAGACTACCGCACGAACGTCCTCGGTTGATGGTTAGATAAACTCGAACTCAAACTGAAAGAGACAGGACACTTCTTCAATTCTTTTCACTTTTACTTCCATGTGTACTCGCGAAAGACTTGACAGTTCATCTTGTTTGATGTTTATACAGTTAAGGAACCAAATAAGCTCGTACTTACCACTTGGATGAAGATAGATGAGCACATACCTGGCGACATAAATACGAAAACTGACTGGTTTGTGTTGTATCCCAAAGTAGTAAGACGAGCACACAACGAACTAAGCAGTACGTTTATTGTAACGGGAATTATGTAGCCGGTTCAAAAACCGGGGAACAAGCAGGAAAGGAAAACGTGTAGGAAGAAAGGAAGGCCGACACCAGCTCACACGTCGCACCACATGCGAATGCCATCGAGCAGGCATACAAACAGTCAGTTAATCAATCAACCGATCGATCGATCGATTAATCAATTTGGCCACAGGCATGTATGGTAAACGTATCAATTAAGTGTAGGTCACAAGGGTTTGTAAAACTGCAATATAATCTGCAACTAAGTATATATGGCAACACATTACATATTAGAGATAGATAAGACCGTATACAGGGAAATCTTCGCACAACACAGTCCACAGACTCGATTATCCACCTGGCGACTCAGTTTGGAGAGATAAAAACTCGAAAAGAGCACTATTAGGTGAACAAGTAACCAAAGGCAACTGCGAACCGTGAACAACGAAAGTTGGTGTGGTAAAATGGCAATGGTAATCTAAAATACCGCCATATACTTACTTTTAGGGTCAAATTCTTGAACAACGTGTCCTCGAGTACACGCTGCAGTTTCTGGCTGATTTCCAAACACGTGTCCCGATCGGGTACGTTTGAAATGCTTCGACCGGTGTACAGGGAGGCCATCAGACCACCGGTACGCGCGATCAGCTGTTTGTGTGTGTCCACGGAGTTGGGCGAAACAGCACCAGAGTGTTTATCGGCGAGAATCAGTAAATGCTGATGAGATCGTCCATCAGTCGGGGTAGTGTAGAGAGAGAAAGAGAGATGGAGATGATCGTGAAAATTCCCGATAAAGAGAAACCGATAAACCGAGAGAGGAATCAAAAGTTTGCTACTTGCCTGTATGCTAATTGCATTTTTAGAGCTTGCATCTGATCACATGTATCCGACGCAAAAACCCGCAAGAATGATAGCGACAAATCCATACGTGTGATAGAGATCTTTATTTGCTAAATTTGAGATCAAAAGCTAAATGAAATCAGTTGGATGGGATTGCGTAAAGCATACATTATTGAAACAAAATACAACAGAAATGACAATTATGCAATATTCCCTAGCTCTCTGCCGATTAATTCAGTCTACTCAGGAGACGAGTATGTACGTTGGCACGTAATTGAGCGAGTGTGTCTCGTACTTGAAACTACCGCTGGTCAGCTTTACGTCCAATAACCCACCTCAACCGACCCAATCAGTCCAAACACTTTTGTGTGGTTGCTAATTCCCAAAGGGTCACCACCAGTTCTGTGGCAGATAAATGGTCATTTTTTTATCCACATCATGTATGATGCAAACGAATTCAGACGAATTCAAAAGAAAAACGTACCACGGGCGAGCATTACCGAACATGGAATGTTTCATAGATATCGCTGGAGTCGCGCGTGCTTGTCAGCGGGGAATTTATATCTTTCTCAAGCGCAACAACAGGTGAAAACGTTTAGCGCACACACATTTCCTCAGTCCCTACATGAACACCTGTGATAGGAATCTGAAAGGTCAATGTAGGAAGAACATGTCTCTGATCGAGCGAAGTAGGTGTAGGTACACACACAAGCACCTGTGCACCTAACGCGGAACAGTTTTGGCTCCGAACACGAAGGTTCGCAGTTGGAGTCCCAGCGAAGATGAATAAAAGTAAGCAACGCTGGCCAGACAAGACAGTTAACACAATCATCATGTGGACTATCAAACAAAAACATTTGTAAATGATTTCCAAAAGACCAGATTGTGTTAAACACCTACCATACGTATTTCTTAATTCAGACCGAGAGGTCCGTAGGAATAAGGAATGGTGAGGACATTCACAATCCACCACGTCGGCGGGTTGGACGCTGGACTGAGAACTTCCAACAACAATTCAACTGATTATCGACATCACTACGTCCATCTCCTGACGTAAATAATGCAGCACGATGTGAGGACATTTCGCTACCTACCGAGGAAGAAACCCCCGAGAGCCCAGATTTCTGGTTACAAATGGCTCATATGAGCTCCCTCTTGCCCTTTTCAAA